CCCTGCATCCCAAGTTCTTGCCCCTTCCAAACTTGTTCCAACTTTGTATGCGCTTCTAGTTGTAGAAAACTATGGCTCCTGCAGCAAGGTTGAATCAGGATAAACTTTGGAGAAAAACACCTCTTTGGGAGGAATATTTTAGTGTCCACATTTTAGATGAAGCATTACAGAGTGTGGAGGAATTGAACTCCCCAGCTTACCACCCCGAGGTTGTCAAAGAAGCCATTTCCCTGGCGTTGGAGAAAAGCCCGCTCTGCATGGAGCCAGTTGCAAAACTTCTGGAGTACTTGATTGCCAAGGTCCTCACAGCTAGGGACTGGATGTTTGGTATATGGTTCAACTTTGGATGATATCGGCATTGATATAACAAAAGCACCTAATAATTTTGGTGAGGTCATTGGGAAACTAATTTTGGCTTGGGGATTGAACTTTAAGGTTTTGAAGGAGGTGCTGAAAAAGGTGAAGGATGAGGGGTTCCGGAAAACAATATTTGCAGCTGGAATAAGGATTATCACTTCCAGTTCTACTGAACAAGGGATATTGAGGCCTGTGAGAGCATACTCTAGCGAGCTGAGATATCAAAATCCTTGGATTTTTTCAAGTTGTATAATTTCATAAATGGAACGTTTGCCATCATTTTCACTTTTCACAAATGCACCTTCCATTTACACCCCATTTGAGCCAAGGACAACTGTATTACACTTTGTGATATAAGTGGAGCTGCTGAGAATATGTGATTTTGCTGTATATTATCGGTGGTGATACTGGGGTCTTCATCAAAAAAGATTTTGCTCTCGAGTGTGGCTAAATCATATGCCGAAGTAGTTCGGGACAAGCGGCCTCACATGAGACCTAGTAGGGGTTTTTTTTTTTTTTTTTTTGAATTTTTGTTCTGGACTGAGTTATTTACTGTTCAAGTTCATAAATGACATAGCTCTACCATTGCAGTAGTCTGAAAGGTAGTAGAGGGCAAACTGCTGAACAACTGTTTGCTCCGAATGACTGTTTGCTCTGAAGACTGAAAAACTTCACACAGAGGCCCAAGAATGGATAAAAGTTACATCAGAAAATAGCTCCATTATTGATGTGCTCATTGCCACTACTGTCTTTACTGCGGCCTACACAGTACCTGGAGGTTCAAATGATCAAACAGGCATTCCAATACTTCTCAACAATCCTTTGTTCGTCATCTTTACTAAGACTAATGTCCTTTCACTTACATGCACTTTAACTTCGTTAGTTATATTTTTGTCAATTCTTACCTCGACTTTTCGTTTAAGAGACTTAAAGCACTCCCTTGTACAAAAATTAATGTTAGGATCCACATTTTTACCCCTGATGTTGTCATTTGCGGCCACCATCGCCCTTATGATACGTAGCAAGGAACAATGGACAAAAGTTGCCTTGTACACGGTTGCCTTCCTTCCTGTCAGTGTCTTTGTTGTGTTCTACATGTCTCTCTCTTTGTTCTCCTTGAAAACTTTAAGGTACATTCAAACACAATGAACCCAGAATTTGAGGAGTTCAAGTCAAATTTTAGGCACGAGTACAATGGGCTTTGCATGAGGCTAAATTTCTGTCATGTGTGAGTGTAACCGGTGGATGATTATGCACGGCCGAGGTACTGAATCCAATTGTATCAAGGTGGTGTAACTAATTATCAGTTATTTTATTTTATTGTTTTAGATGAGTTAACAACTTAACATAATTAAAAATTAATTTTCTTTATGTTGTGTAGGATTATCGAATCGGTATTTTGGACAAAATTTTAATTAAATTTATTTCAATTTTAATCCAAGTCACCAATTCGATACTTTAAACATAAGATATTGTATAATTGTATTTTACAACGCATCGAATTTTTGTGTTTTTAGGCATAAATGAATTCACCCCTACAATCGAATACTTGAGTTGAATCAAATATTTTATATTTAATAGTATAAAAGTTTCATATAATTGAATACACCCTACTTCAAATTCAATTGCATTGGTGGCTTTAAACTAATTTTTCTCTGATTGATGCCTATGAACTAATTTTTCTCCTATTTAATTCGTAAAGGCGTAAACACTAATTCTATCTATCTATATATATATATATATAGCATGAATGAATGAAACTAATGGGAACAAATTTTGAATGACAGAGACAACGTGGGTTTTACACACGACATTGCATGCAGTCCTCGTACGATTGGTGTCGGCCATTCGTGGGAAATCGATCTATTTGATGTGACTACTTTTTAACTTGCACTAAATTACACACCAACAATTCATCAATTTGTCCAAAGCACCAAACTGTAACAGTAAATTTGCACTAGTACCATAAATGTTGCTTAATGGTTTTACTAGCAAAAAATGAATTTTCTTTCTTCTATTGCAATCTCTCGTAAAAAAAATAACTTATTCCAAGAATATATATATATATATATATATATAATACATTATTAGGCAAGCTTAATTTCATAACAACAATTTCAATCACATTGATACTTTTTCCTTTTTCTTTTCCTGTAAAATTGTGTTGTATTATAAATTAACTTCTAATAATGTTTTTGGATAAACCTAACATTTTATAAAAAGATAACTTTTTTAAAAAAATTGTAAAATTATCCCAAATTTATTTTATACCAAACTATCTTTGTTGCAATCAGTCCACCTTTTTTTTTTTTTTTTTTAATAAAAAGTTGGAATTTTATTGATAAGTATCTTCCTAGTACCACTCACATGGGATATATAAAAAATAATAATAAAAAAAAACTTTATAATTATATAATCTTGTGGACTAGATCTTATTGGTACGATGGTACATTTTAGGATAAATTACAATGACATCCCTTGAAATTTGACATAATGGCAATCATAAATAAGTTGGGCGTTTTTTGAACAATAACACCCCTGTCAGAATTTTGATCCAAACAGATCCTTAATAGGTTGAAAACGACGAGATTGCCCATCAATATTTAATTGATTTTAATTGTAAAATATCAAAATCTTGAAAGGACATTTTTGCCCTTCTACCCTCCCTCTCTCTATCCTCTTTATCTCTCTTTAAATACTCGCCTGAGATCGAGGTTAGGTGAGATGTGGCATATTGTCAGGTCCGGCTCACCGTTGATGGTGCATAGCTCAAACAAATTCAAAGCTCGGAGTGTGTAGTCCAACGCCTTGATCGGGCCATCGCCAGCGGTGCTTGTATCACGTTCGAGTTTCAGAAGGAACGGGCTGTGATCAGGTCGAGAGAGGATAACTGACTACTACGAAGCTCCAATTTAGCGATGGTTTGGCCTGTAAAGTCGACAGCGAAGGCGAGGGAGGTCGCCTTGGGACCGGCGGTGCTATCTAGACGGAATGGATCTTGTCAGCGCTAGCGGGCTGAGTGGCGGCTGAGTATTGCGGTTACTGTTATGGTTGCTGGAGCTTCTGCAGTGGCACTGTTGCTGGAGGCGATGGTTGCTGGTGGTAATACATAGGCTGATGGGGTGATTGTTGTGGGGGTGGGGGCTGATTTTGATTCATCATCATCCATTGCTGGTACTGTTGGTGTTGATTGTGATTTTGTTAAGGATCCAAGTTTAGCCGGCGACGACAATTTGGGGTTGGAGAGAAAAATAGTGTCTCAACAGTTTTGGGGTCTCCATTGAAACTGGTTTGGATAGAAATTTTTTGTGATTAATTTGAGAAATTTTTTGTCATTGGATTATAATTATATGTGTATATAATTGTGTATGTGTGTAATACAAGTATGTGTGTATGTGTGTATATATATATAAGAGAATAAATAGAGGAAAGAAGAGGTGGTGGTGGTGGTAGTGTTGGTGCTGCTGCTGCGAAGAGGGAGTGGAGGCTTTGTGGGTAGGTGCTTGAGATGAAAGGTTATTTTAGACATTTTAGATTAGGTAAATTGGTAATTTTACTATTTAAAAGTGCCATTTCAAAAGTCAAGGGGCATTTAGGTCATTTTAACACATGTCAGACCACTAAGGGTGTCTTTGTCAAAGGGAGCAAAACTGAAGGAGTGTCGTTGTTCAAAAATAGACTAACTTATATATGACTGTCATTACAACGAATCTCAAGAAGTATGTTGTAATTTTCCCTGCATTTTATATGGTGCGTCTGTCGTTAGGAATTCTTGGAACAGTTGCAAAGAGCACTTACAGTTGGACAATGTCCAGCTAAAGCCTAAAACCTAAACTCAGTGCCAAATATATTTGGAAGATAATTTAGTACCGAATGTTTTTCTACCAAAACCAATCATATTTTAATCCATATCTCTTTTAGTGGCCTTGAAAGAACCAAATATATGCCAGTATGCCTATCCGATGCAGTTGATTGGATACAAAAGCTTGGCTAACAAATAATTATTGATTAGGGCAGTTTGTAATAAGGTAGTTTTACAATTTTGTTAAAAATAAATTTAAAAGTTAACATTGCTTAGTAAATTATTTTTGACTAACAAAAAATTTAAAAATAGAATCAATATCAAACATTTTTAAAAAAAGAAACTAATATCAAAATTCATACCAAAAGATGGGATTTAAGTTTTAAAAAAAATATATATTTTAATAAATTAACTGTTCAAAAATCTAAATTCGTGTCCCCTCACTTGTTTAAAATGCTTGAAATTAATAAACTAAGAATTTCTTTCAAACCTCTCCTACAACTTGTCATATTTTAGTATTTACTCTATAATTTACCGACAGTTCGGTTTCTATCATTATATATATATATACATGTGATTTGATAGTATTTCCATGAATATTTTACAAACTATAAGATTAACAATAAAAATAAATAAATGATGTGGTGTCGTGGATTCCATACTTGTTATAGTTCTTACATCATCTTCCAACTTGAATTGAATTACTTTTATTTTTGTTACTGAAGTAGTATTATATTACTGCGCAGACAGCTGTTACCTGGAAAGCACTATTTAAGCTTATTGCAAGTGCAATGTCAACGTGTGAATTGTGTATTGTGGGCCATTTCATTGGTAAAAGGTTTGCTCACATGACAAAAAAAAAAAGGGGTCCCACTTGTTCAAGTCTCCTTCTCTTTCAGATCTGAACCCAATTCCTGGGTTTTGCTTTGAATTTTAAGGTTCAAATCCCCGTAGGATTTCTGGGTCTGCTGTATTTTTCTGGGTTTTGGTTGAATACAGGCATAGATCAGAGAAAAGAGAGATGGGGTTGATGGGTATCCAAGAAAATGGGAGTGGTGAGATGGGTTTGTCTGGTGTTTCTTTGGGAAGTAAGAACAAGTACAAGAGGATGGATTCTGAGCTCACAGAGGATGGTGGTGATGATTCTTCACAACATCATCATGAGCAGAAAAGGAGCAGAAGCAACAGTACCAAGAAATATGTTTTTGCTTGTGCTGTTTTTGCATCCCTAAATTCTGTTCTTCTTGGCTATGGTTAGTATTTCTCACATTTCATGTCTGTGTAGTCATTTTGATATGCTTTGACTGATTGAATCTCACACTTAAAAATGTATTCACCACTTTTTTGTGTACTTTGTGTGGCTAATTCTCAAATCTGAACTCTTTTTGATCCTTCACATAAACTATACAGAGTGAATGATTGATTGGGACTCTTAGATTCCTATTTGGCTTGTTCTTTATTGACACTTGAAATTTGGGGATATACGGTTAATTGTAGGCTCATTACATGGGTGTTTGAGAAAGAAAAAATATGAACAAAATTTATTTTTTTCTTAACATAATTAGCGAGAAGTATAGGCTAACACAGAAAAATGTAGGAGATCTATCCAATTTCAAATTAAATAGGTTTATTGATAATGTCCATAACTGAATATTGCTGGTTTATAACTTTTTTTGGCACGATTCCAGCATATACTTACCCAATATAGTTTCAGCAGAACAACTCGTTTGCTTAATTCGTGCCAGACATGGAGTGTCTCCTATACAATTTTCAGTATCTTAGTTTTACTCATTTCCTTTGGCTAGACACTAGAAGAGGGTACACAAGAATACCTATCTTGTCAAGTGAGATGACAGAAGACAGAACAATTATTTTACATAAGGCTAGTGGATTCTTTTCATGACCTCGGAGGAGCTTCACCCCAATGATAAATTGTGTAACAATTATTTAATTCATGGTTAATTATGGGTTTAGTCACTCAGTTAATTGATGTTCTCTGCATCAGATTCCAATACATCAATTAGAAACTTTTAAACTTTTAGAGAAGGCTTCATAGCTGGATTTGGTATTATCTCATTTCACAATTGGTTGTTGAGTGGATTGCATTTTGATTATCGGGTTTTCAATCTGCAGATGTGGGTGTTATGAGTGGAGCAGTGCTATTCATCCAAGAAGATCTGAAGATAACAGAGGTGCAAGTGGAAATTCTTGTTGGTTCTTTGAGCGTCATCTCTCTTTTTGGTAGTTTAGCAGGTGGAAGAACATCTGATGCCATCGGTAGAAAATGGACAATGGGATTAGCTGCAATTATCTTTCAAACAGGTGCAGCTATAATGACTCTTGCTCCTTCATTCGAAATACTAATGGTAGGAAGACTGTTGGCTGGGATTGGGATTGGCTTTGGAGTCATGATTGCCCCTGTCTACATAGTTGAGATATCACCAACCATTGCTAGAGGCTCCCTCACTTCATTCCCAGAGATCTTCATAAATATTGGAATCCTACTTGGTTATGTCTCTAATTATGCATTTTCAGGTCTTCCAGCACACACTAACTGGAGGATAATGCTTGCCGTGGGAGTTCTGCCCTCAGTCTTTATTGCTTTTGCTCTGTGCATAATCCCCGAGTCACCAAGGTGGTTGGTCATGCAGAACCGAGTGGAAGAAGCAAGATCAGTGCTTTTGAAAACAAATGAGAGTGAGGCAGAGGTGGAGGAGAGACTTGCAGAAATACAAATGGCTGCTGGAAATACTACTGGAGAAAAGTACGAAGAGAAGGCTGTCTGGCGTGAGCTGTTGACTCCTTCTCCTGCAATTCGCCGGATGCTGGTCACTGGATTTGGAATCCAGTGTTTCCAGCAGATTACAGGTATTGATGCTACGGTGTATTACAGCCCCGAGATTTTTAAAGATGCTGGTATTAAGGGCAACTCGACGCTTCTTGCTGCAACTGTTGCTGTGGGAGTTGCAAAGACTGTATTCATATTGGTTGCTATTTTTCTCATTGACAAAGTTGGAAGAAAGCCACTGCTTTATGTAAGCACAATTGGCATGACTGTGTGTTTGTTTAGTTTAGGTCTTTCACTGTCTTTACTGAGGGAAGGACCTGCTGGGATTGGATTGGTAGTATTGTCAGTTTGTGGAAATGTAGCTTTCTTTTCTGTTGGAATTGGTCCGGTTTGCTGGGTTCTGACATCCGAAATCTTCCCTTTAAGGTTACGTGCTCAAGCAACAGCACTTGGGGCAGTGGGTAACAGAGTGTGCAGTGGCTTAGTTGCTATGTCTTTTCTCTCTGTTTCTCGTGCAATTACAGTGGCTGGAACCTTCTTCATTTTTTCTGCAATTTCAGCCCTTTCAGTTGCTTTTGTATACGCATTTGTTCCAGAAACAAAAGGAAAGTCTTTGGAGCAGATTGAGTTGCTGTTTCAAAATGAATACGAGTGGCAAGGGAGTGAAGTGGAACTTGGAGATGTTGAGCATTTAGTGCAGAAACAATAAGTCTCTGGTGGCTCAATCCCAGACATGATGTACCTATAGCTTTCTCACTGGCTTGAAAGACGATGAGAATATATGTGATGTTTTTGTAATATTTATACCATTGTCCTTAGCTTGAACTATCCCGGAGTTTCCTGTGCTCCGATTTGAAGAGGAACTGTTGCCGGCAACTATTGGCAGCATCTATGATAAAAACAAAGTGAGCTTCCTTCAGCTGCAAGCTATAGGAGAGCATGTAGCATGTTATTTGAGTGTATTTTATGACAATCACAAGTATACATGAACTTGTATGAAGAAAATGAGATGTACATTTATTCCGCAAAAAAAATCAATAAAAGCAAATGAATTTAATTGCAAACATTTGAACTCCTATATACTGAGGTGAATATCTGCTAGGTGTTGGTTTCATTTTTCTCTTCAAGTATTTTGTTGTTTGTTCAAATCCTTTTGCTCCAATGATGAAGTTAGAAACAATAATCAGGAATAGCTGGATTTGCTCCAATGATGAAGTTAGAAACAATAATCAGGAATAGCTGGATTTGCTCCAATGACAAGCAATTCCTTGTCAACAAAAATGTTACAGGAGATATATGTGGAAGAATGTTTTGTTGGCATGACCTGCATGACTTTGAGATTGAATCGTGTGGGTGTGCAACTATAATTGACATGTTTGTTGCACTTTTATTTCCCCGTGTGAATAGAAAGTTCTACAGAAATTTTGGACGGAATTTCATTCCAGGATAGAGGATCTTGTTTCTTTGTTGAATTAGAAACTGTTTTGTAACTCCATAAACGAAAATCAGTTCTGCATTTTTTCCTTTCACATCCAAAATTTAGGTTTACCTCATTATTGGTGTGTATTAGGCGTAGCTCTGTTAAACATTGTTGTGGCTCACATAAACACAACTCACCAAATATTAATCCCAATGTCACTGCATAATCATTTTTTTAAAGTCTGCGCTATGTTATGTTCTCACCAAATATTAATCCCAATGACACTGCATAAATCATTTTTTTTTTTTTAGTCCGCGCTATGTAATGTTCTTAAAGGAGGAACTGACTCATGAATTACAGAAACCGTGCGCTATGTAATGTTATGGTTTTGGTTTCAAGAATGTGTTTCCCCTGAAATCACTGTATTATGGACGTAGTCAACTCTTCACCAAAAGCAGACAAGCCTCCCTATACTACACGTGTAAACAGCTTCACACGCTTGGCAAGCAAATCAGTTGATGCATAAACTTAGGGAGGCCAAAGGAAACGGTTGGAACGACTAAATCAGTACAAACTTAATACGATTAAAACACGATATCAGATAAATAAATTTGAGTTTAATTTAATTGTGTTAGAACTATAATTATGTTAATTTAAATTAATAATTGAACATATTGTGCTAGTATTTAACTCCTCAACTTGTTTATAATTCAATTGATTCATTTAACTAAATATGTCAAATAAATATGTTTTATTAGTATTAAAAATGACCCATTTAATTAAACATGTTTGTATCAAAAATTATTTTTACGTATTGTATCATGTAAAGTTTTGATTATTTATTAAAATAATTATGCATGTCATGTCATATTACTCGTGTAACAATTATATTGAATTCTAGTCAAGTACCTTGACACGATTAATAATGGTATCATATTCGTATCAATTCATGTAACACAATAACCATGTCCTGGCACAACACAAACACGACCTGTCAACACCAATTGTTACACCTAATTTTTTTACAATTCAGTTTTGATTTTGGTATCAATTTGAATATATATATATATATATATATATATATATATATATATAATAAATAAAAATCTAACCTAGACTATTGTCTTTTAGTAAATAACCCCCTAAGCTAATGAATTTTTGCAATCAAGGACACATTGAAAACATGTTCAAAGACTATTTTACCCATACTCAAAACTATTCATTTTGATTAGGGAAAAGTGCAAGAAACCCTTAACTATATTATATGTTTGAATTTACAAATAACCCCCCTTGAAATTTATTTTGTATATAATACCTCAGAATTATCACATTTTGTAGCAAAATATTTCAATACCTAGACTATATTTTATTAAATGACCATAATGCCCTTTCTTATTGAATTACACTTAATCTATTTTTTTTATTCAAATAAATTATTAAAAAAATTAAATTAATTTGTTGACAAATTCGTCATTAAATTTGCAAAAATTTACCTTTAATTTTTATAATTAATTGTTTACATAAAAATTCTTAAGTAGAAAATTTTAAACAATTTAATTAATTTCTTAAATTTTTTATGAATATAATATATGAAAAAGAAGGTATTTTTTATTTAAGTAATTTATTAATTTTTTATCAATATGTTGTATGAAAAAGAATGTATTTTTCTACGGTGAAAAAGTTTAAAGTGAGTATAATAAAGTTTTAATAATAAGTTAATCATTTTAAAAAATGTTAGTTACAAATCTATTTTTTTTCCCATTTTTATGATAAATTGATACTACTCAAAAAAATAAGGTAAATAGTACAATTAATATTTAGATAAAAGAAAAATAATAATAATAATTTAATAAGAAATGACAAATTTAATGAGAAAAGGTGAAGTAGTCTTTTGCGATAGCTTTGTCCTAAATTCCAACAAATCAATAGTTAGGGGGGCAAATTCTAATTCAGGGAGTTATTTGCAAAAGGGTAATAGTTTAAGAGGTTTTTTGCACTTTACCCTTTTGATTATTATCCACATAAATGGATAATGTGGAATAAAAAAATCTCAAAAACCAATTAAAAATTGACATTTCAGGTACAAGACACAATTAGACATCCAACCTATAATCACAACGACCCAATTGCCAGAGCGAAACTCTACCAACTGAGCTATATCCCCGATCCAAGTGGAGCATGCATGAAGGAGTCAGGTGCTTCTTCTATTCTTTTCTCCGACACAACTGGACCATCTTGGACTTGAACTAGAGACCTTGCCTGTGAAGTAAATCTCTCTAGTGAGTTACAATAGAGTTCAAAAAGGTCAAATATTTGATGACTCCATCAATTCTGATTGAGTTGCAAAAACTGCAGAATATGTATCCTACATTTGAACCGAATTCTTTGCGGTTCTCTTTTTAGTTGCTCTGGAACAATTAGGAATAGAGATTTAGTTGCTTTACAACAATTAGGACTCCCCTAAACATTTTGCCAACTCGTTCCTGGCTAGCCTTTTTTTAATTATTATTATTATTAATTTTTACAAGTCTTCATCGTGGGTTTGTTTCGTGAGGCCGGCCTGGGCAAGGTGACCAAGGCGGTTGTCTAGGGCCTCAAATAATTTAGGATCATAATGCAAATATAATAGTATGTATATGACCATAATTTCCATAATTAAAAGACAATACACACTATCATGTAAATTTATGGTAATAAACAACTTAAAAAAAAAAAAATTATGGCAATAAACACATGTACTTATAATATAAATTATATATATATATATATATATATATATATATATATATATATAATACAACAATTTGTATGATAACAATAATTTGTTTATGTCCCCTTCCATAAAAATAAAAATAATAAAAAAAATCCGTTGAGATTGTTAAGCTTAGTCTAAACAATCAAAATTTTAACTCATGGATACAATCAACTGTCACATTCCCCAAAATAACCTTAAGATTTTCTAAAATATTACATGGTTTCTGATATTGAAGGGACAAAATTATTTTAACAGTCACAAGTTTTAAGAGAAGCTTTACCAAGAGGAACAAAAAAGACAACTGGGGTGCTATAAAAATGTTAGTTTATTGTTTTCGAAATGCTTTGATTGCATATGGAGTATTATAGACTATCCTAGTTACAGTTGCATTTACTGAGAGAAGCCTTTCAAAGTTAAAATTGATCAAATCTTATCTAAGGTCGACGTTATGTTCGAGAAACTTGATTAGGATACTTTAATTGAGAATTTTGCAACCCAAAATGTAAGACAATTACATTTATTTTGATATGAAGTTGAATTTTAATTTTTGTGATTAAGTTATGTTGAATATTTTTTTGTTTTTTTTTTTATTTATGTAAACTAGATGTGCTCTATAAAGAGCACCAAGATTGGGTTTGTTTTGTATGTCTTCAATATTAATATATTTTGTATTTATTGTCTCATTTAATAAAAATGAAAATTTGGCTGTAATTTTTTGACACGTGCGTGACCTTATGTATGAATGGCCTTACAATGCGTAGGGCTCTCAAAATTTTGGGAGTCTCAGGCCGGCCAATAGTCAGATATCTATGATTGGCATTTGGTTCATTGTCTTGAGGAGATTGATATATCTTAATGGGGTTACTGAGATTGGGTTCTGAAGTTTGTTCTTCCTGTCACAACAAGGCAAGTGATCGAATAAAGAACTTCCTAAACATTGAATATATATATATATATATATTGGGTTTGTTTTGTATGTTTTCAATATTAATATATTTTGTATTTATTGTCTCATTTTAATAAAAATGAAAATTTCGCTGTAATTTTTTGACACGTGCGTGACCTTATGTATGAATGGCCTTACAATGCGTAGGGCTCTCAAAAATTTGGGAGTCTCAGGCCGGCCAATAGTCAGATATCTATAATTGGCATTTGGTTCAATGTCTTGAGGAGATTGATATATCTTAATGGGGTTACTGAGATTGGGTTCTGAAGTTTGTTCTTCCTGTCACAACAAGGCAAGTGATCGAATAAAGAACTTCCTAAACATTGAATATATATATATATATTCTGTTTTGTGTAAATGAGAGTCTGAATCTACCCCAAACATTTGCGTCTGCATCAACCTGGTTGGCACCACCTGACACTGTCTATATATATATATATATATATAAAACTCTGTCATGGCTTGTGTATATATATATGGCTCTGTGGCGAAGACGGAAGAAGATGAATTAGGCTTTTTCATATTTCAGTACATGAGCGATATAATCGTCGCCTGTGTATATATAGCTCTGGTGAAGATTGTGGACACTTTTTCAGCATGAGGGATTGCGTTGGAACTGAAAGCAGTCGCGACAACAAGAGTTATGTTCAGAGGTTCGACTGGTTACACTTGAGTAGCTACATAGAAGAGTTTGTGACTCTGGATGAATTCACAAGTCCAACCGACCTTTTTCTTTTCCCCTTCAAATCAGAAATCATTTCCTTGAGAGGTTACATACCTACGAGACATCAACTTTGGTGACACGTGCTGATGCAGGCTTCTCTTCACGGCATGCTGGAGCAGTCAAAACAATTTCCACTGATTTTGAGGGGAAAAAAAGGCAACGGATCATCAAAAAACAAGACATAGAGCAACACTTTCCTACAGATCATAGTTGAGATGTTACCAGAACTCAAGTAAATCATTGTATGAAAGGAAAGAAGCTATCTGTATTCTAGTGACTTTGGGTCTTAATTTCTAAATCCTAGGTTAAGACATTGTTTGGATTGTCTTCCGTATTTATAATATGCTTGCATCTCTTTCTGCAGAATAGTTTTTACAAAAATGTGTTACTGTAGTGTGGTTTTTGGAGTTTTTGTTCTCTAAAAATTGTTTTTTACTTTTACCAACCAAACAAATTTTCAAACAAAAAAATCTGAGAACTGTTTTATGTTCTGATTCACTGAAAACTTTTTGAATGAAATAAAGGGCATGCAAAATGTAGATATAGGGAAAGAAGTTTTTGCAACAAGATCTGTAATACACTAGAATAGAAATGCCGGAGACAGTTAAACACGTACACTCAAAAGGACACGAATTCGTTATTATACATCCATTTCTTTTCTTTCCTCCCCAGTATTTGAAAATTTTCAAAGTTCATAAGCTGGGAATCTAGCACCAGTAGGTTCAATCATGTCTAGGAAAAGATAAGCCATACCACCAATTCCTTCAAACAAGGAGTAACCGTTATCTCCTCCATGCATTTGTCCCTCTGATATAAGCTTGTGAGCTCTATCAAGCATAAAGCAAGCAAAAGCTTTGGCCTTGTATAGGAACTCCACATTGCCTGTAAGCCGGTAGAGCGAGAGGAACACATATGCGTTCCCACTAATACCATGGCAAATCCCAACTCGTTTTAGTAGGCCTCGATTCCACACTACATTCGCTGCATGCACAGCTGCTTCCAGAAACTCTTTATCTCCAAAAACCTTGGCAATCGGCATTTTTATGAAATTTTTGAGCAACATCATTAGAAAACATATTAATGGGATAAATAAAAAACAAGGGAAGATATCACAAGATTTAGTTTACCTTATAAGGGAAACTACATAACAGATGCGGTGTATCAAAGCAACTCATACTGAAAAAGATACTGCTAACTGAATTGTAATTTTAAAAAGCTTAGTTTTTATTATATATATATATATATATATATATATATATATATATATATATATATTGGTATGTTCAGAAGGCATTTCAAGGAAGAATGAGGCGTTAACTTTTATGAATCATGTTCAACATAATGGGTTCAAGCAATTACTGATCTACCTTTGTTCTAGTGGCTTTGGGTCTTAACTCACAAACCCTAGGTCAAAGTCTCAACGCTAGTAGAGAGAAAAGAAAGAAAAAAATAATGTGTTCAAGCAATTCTAAGAACATTAATGATTAACCTCAATGAAGAAGATCGTCTATGCATGTTGGGAGAAGCTAGAAGATGAAGTTGAGGAATTTGAAGGAAGTTCCTTGCCGAGTCAATTCTATATATTCACTTCTACTTTTGTTCCTTGGAAATTCATCATACTATGCAATTGTTCAATGAATTCTGTTCCATGATCAGACAGTTGCAAAATAGTGCTATATCTGGTTTCCACAAAACTTTAGGCTCCATCAACAGGATTTAATTAGCATATTAAAATTACCTCTGCTGCTTTGATGAGTGTGAGGACCAAACCAGGAGCACCATGACACCAATGCACAAGAACATCTCTTTCACAGTTTTCTTCACTGGAAGGGTAGTAACCACTAGATAACCTATTCTTGATCATGTATTTGAGAGTGCCCTTGACTTCCTCAACCTCTTCTGGTTTCAATTTCACGTGCATCAAAACATGCATAATCCCAGCCAATAAATGACCAGCACCCCAATATTGTTCACCATACCATTCAAACATCAGTGGGCACCGTCCGCTAACACCCAATATTCTTCCATCCTCGACAATTTCATTCAAAAGCGCACCCTATGCGTATATTCACAAGAATTTTAATCATAAATTCAGAAATATCTCTCTCCCCACTTCAATTGATTCAAGTAGAACCAATCTATATGATAAAAGTAGTCTTACAATGTACGAGGAAGAAATTGTTCCCTCCCCAATATGTTTGTTTAGGAACAAACATGCCCACAGGAACCCAGCTCTCCCATATAATAGTTCACTTGAGAGATCTTTATGCAGCTTAATCTGTTTAAGAAGGTCAAATGCATTACATTCATCAACAAGGAGTAAAATTCAACGCATTACATTCATCAACATCAACAAGGAGTAAAATTCAACATTTGGGAAAGCAATACGACGGTAGAGGAAATGAAAGAAAATTACTTCTTTAAATTGGGTGAGATAGTAATTAAGCATCTGATCATCGCCAGTGTGCTTTGCTGCAAAAGCCCCAAGTGCACAAACACTAGCTCGCCCACATAAAAATGTCACGTCCCTATCATCATACATTGCATAAGCACTCTGAAGTTCAAACAAAAATTGCAACGACTGTGCAAGGACAAACTCAGTGCATGAAGCTACTGCCATTGTGAAATTTGGTGAGGGTCAGATATACGCAGTTTTACCTGCTCTGCACTTTTCTTGTTTCAAACCCCAGGTCACAATGGAGCAACTTAAAGTTGCATCAAGGCTCGTTCTCGTTGCGTACATATAAGGTATGGCTATAAACTAAACAAAGGAGATAACTTGCATCGAAGGAGCAATGGTTAATTTACACATATCGAAACAAATAGAGAGAGAACCTGGAGCGGAGAGAAGCAGAGTCACAAGCCCTAACAATCTCAGAGCAGAGATTGAGGTCGTTTTTGTTGTTAGTAAGTTGATAGGCTTTAAAGAGCAAAAATGCAGTGCCAAGAGTACCGCTATAGAGAGTGAAGTCTTGTACGTGTTGTCCAGTGACCCTCCATGTCTCTATCACTGCCTGAGACAAAACCACAAACACGTAGTGTGCTACGTATGTATGTATATATATGTGTGTGTGTGTCAGTGTGTGTACACACGAAGAGAGAAAAATGATACTGTTTCTTTAAGATCCAAAGCGGCTTGTTTGAGTCTCTCTGAGAGAGTGGCGTAGGGCATCGAAAGAAGCTTCATGAGCGATTCATCAGAGCCTTCAGTGACTACTTCTTCTTCTACTTCTTGTTCAGCTGTTGTTAATTCTGCAACAAACTCAGGCATGACATTTTGAAAAAAAGGATCACCCATTTCCTCTTCTTATTTGTAGAATAATCAAATGGACTCTATTTTCAGACAAACAGACAACAAATTTTTTGACTTTTAAACAACCGCCATGGTCAACTCTTCGCCGACAACAGACCTCCTTCTTTATGCTACACGTGTTAACATCTTCACACTTGGCAAGCAAACACCTCGACAAATAATTCATCACAACTACGACGTTTTGATTTGTCGTAATTGGGATCTAGAACGAGAGCGTTTATTATTAGATAAATTAATTTATCACGTTTGGATATACGTGATATGTACACCTGTTCTGTTTTGACAGAAACTGATATAAAGAGAGATTTTATTCAAATATCTATTTCCATTTTCAGAGGTTTCGTCGGATCTGAACAATATACAAGACTTTTTTAGAGAGAGAAAGTTTGAGAGAGAGAGAGTTTGGTAATGGCATCGTTTGATGATACTTTCAGCACCGACGGAGGAGAGGACGTGAGGTCGACGTCCCGGCCCTTCGACGACGACTACATCGGCTACGACCCTCGCCTCTCATCCCAACGCTACGAATCTTATTCATCCTTTGACGCTCCCGCCGGAGACGACGCTCCTCCTCCGGCCGACTACCACGGATTCCCCGCTGCTGCTGCTGACGACGACGTCACCGTCGAACACACCTCATTTCCCCTCGATAACAACAGCAACAACCACACTCACTCGCCGGAACCCTATGGTTTCGGTTCGTCCCCGACTCCTGAGTACTCTCCGTCGCCGTTCGAGTCCTCTGTTCCGGAATCGAACGGCGATTCGAAGCCCTACGATCTCGGAGCTGATACCGACGGCCTCTTCACTTCTGACGGTCCGCTGCTACCGGAGCCGAGCGAAATGCGGGAGGAAGGCGCTGCTTATCGCGAGTGGCGTCGGTGAGTTTCTGTAATTGTTTCAATACATTGAATTTTTCATTGTTTTTGGATCTATACTGGGTAGTGATGGATTCCTAATGATGCGCCTGAAAATATGAATTTTCACTTTTTTTTGTTGATCTTACACTTAATTGATCGTTTTTGTGGTTGATCTTCCATCTTGTAGCTTAATAACTCCAATGCTTCTATCCTATGAAATATACTGAACATCAATCTCAATTATATACACTCGAATTCAAACATAAAATATACCGAACATGCAAGTAAAGTACACTAAGTATTTATTATATAATTTTGTTTGCTATGTGATAATGTTTACTTAAAATAACTACGATAATATCAGATCTGTATTCATCCTTCGCTTCTGAAGTTCAGCATTAAACCATTCTGGAACTTGGACAACTTCTACACTAAGATTGAGTTATTTGTGGATCATCATCACACTGTTTAGTTAGATGTTGTTCTACTATATGCTTTGGATTTGTAATCACGAAGTTAATAAAAATTTGAGATTATAGTTGTCAAATATTTCATAATTTTTTATTTTTTCCAAAAAGATCTATTTTGAACTTGTTTAGGATTGTATTTAGTTATTTGAATTGTAAATAGAGGTAAATTCTGAACCTGCCCCCGACTCCAAATGACAGAGGAGCGGAGTGAGTTTGCTAATTGGATTTTCTTTCAGGGATGGGTTTGGGTAGGGGCAGTCTATATAATACACTTGCCTTGTTGACATTTATGACAGCCTCAAGAACACTAAAGTGCCAAGGTCTCTCGGAGCCTAAGCGCATGAAAGAAGCATCACGAGGAAAAATAAAATTTGCATCACAAACTAGTCAAGATTAAAATAAAGGAATTTTTCAGTATATCAATTCAACCAATTATCTAAATTAATATCCATATATATTCAGTTTGCATATGAATTCAGTTAAATCAATGTGCATTTAAAGCAATTCAAAGAATTGCAACACAACTAATCAACAATTATAAAAAAATGGAGTTTTAAATTATAAACTTAGAGGATATAGTAAATCAATGTGAATAAATGCTTTAAAAATGCATATATTATTAAAGACATGCAACAATAAAAAGTAATGTACATATATTTTAAATGTATATATTATTATCATAAAAAGTCAGAATCGAACATCGGTCACGATTAACGCAAGTAGTGAATTCTATCAAATATAGGATAAGATTTAATAATATTATCCATCAGATTGATGATCTTGATTTAATGTAATCTATGTAAATTTATAGTCAATTAAAAAAAATGAAGGAAAGAAAGAAAGAATATAATGAATGGTCAAAATAAGAGACGCTCTTTGTTTTAGCCTGGCCTAAAGGGCTTTATGTGACTTCTCAAAAATAAAATAAAAAGGCTTTATGTGAACTTGCTTGAAAGGGCCTGACCTATAGTAGTTTGAGGCTCTTCGGCTCAACCTTGAGGAGTATAGGGCTTTTTTGGAGCCTGTGTGTGCGTTATGTTGTTCAAGCGGCATGCCTAGGACAGTTCGAACCTTTTCTCAATTTGATGTCAATCTTGTGCCTATAGAAACCCATAAATTTTTCTTTGGTTATGTCTGAAGCACATTTTGGTTAGTTCATTCAAAACATGTACTCCCTACTCTGTTTGAACACTTCCTCAAGTGGTTGTGCACTCTCTGAGATCTTACCATGAGGTCGTCCACATAATCCCTGAGATCATGGTGGAGCATATCGTGGGCTTGATAAGTCATTCACTCAATCCTGTATGTCTGGAACCAAATCTGTTAATCTTTTCTTTCATTGTGCAGCTAGCTACCATATTTAGTTAGCTGATCTGAAATGAAACGTAAGCTATTTACTGATAAGGAGAGATGAAACACGAGATTCATGTACCTTGTCGGTTTGTGTATCAAGTAACCTGCCCAGTTAGTTCTCTTAACCTGTGTCTGGACCAGTTGCATGTAAAAGTATCTTTTTCATTCCAAGAGCTTCTTTTTTAGGTGAATGATGCCAAATCACCCTCTGTACTATTATCAAGTTGATTTAGTCTAAAACCAGCTCAAATTATACTACAGAAATTTCCAGATCTGTCCCCTCAATTTTCTATCTGTAGGTCATGATTGTGAACAGCAGTGTTATTTTGCTTTAAGCTGAAGGTGTATGAGTTTCAAAAGCAGTGTTATTTTGCTTTAAGCTGAAGGTGTGTTCCATTTCTGTGTTTGTTGAGAGAAGGAACCTGCCAATTGCTTGAAAGTACATTTAATGTTCTTGATTGTGGGTATTGATGCGTCCGCCATATGAGTTGCATAATCTGTGTGACTGACGTGCATGTCATGAACAAGGAAAAATAACATGCAAATTTTCAGTGTGCATATTTTGGATGCTCATCTTTTTTTAGTGAATTTCTTTTTTTTTTTTTTTTTTTTTCCTAGTTGGTACTCACACACACACCTCTTTTGAGACTTGAACCCCTGACCTCCCTTTGCGAAGTAAGAGACCGATACCGCTATGGCCCGTTGGGGTCATTTTTATTTATTTATTTATTTTATTATTTTTTTGTTTTTAGCCTTGTTTAGTTTGCTCTCTATCTCTTGTTTAGTTTCCAAAGCAGTGTTATTTTTTAGTGAATTTCATTTTTAGCGTTAAAAGTTTCTTGTTTAGTTTGCTCTCTATCTCTTGTTTAGTTTCAAAAGCAGTGTTATTTTTTAGTGAATTTCATTTTTAGCATTAAAAGTTTCTTGTTTAGTTTGCTCTCTATCTCTTGTTCTTTTGCTGGTTTGTTAATAAATTTTGGCTTAGGAAAAAAAAAAGGTTTTTTTTTATAGTTTGCTAAGATAAAATATTTAATAAATTGGTACACTTAGTGCATCAATGGTAGCCAATAAACTGTCATTACCACTATTACTGTTGCATGGTTTTGATTCTGATATGGCCAGCGATTCATTATGTAATTTCTTAAATTACATGTTGGTGTAGCCAAAATGCCATCTATCTTGAGGAAAAAGAGAAGAGGGAGAAGGAGATGCGGATTCAGATCATCAATGAAGCTGAAGAGTATAAGCGATCTTTTTATGAGAAAAGAAAGCTTAACTGCGAGACTAACAAGGCTCAGAATAGAGAAAGAGAGAAGGTATATTGGCGAATTCCATTTGCTCATAACATATTCTGTACCTTTTTCTCGTTTCAATAATAATGAATTTGTGTTTTGGGGCAGTTGTACTTGGCCAATCAAGAAAAGTTCCATAAAGAAGCTGACAAACAGTACTTTAAAGCAATAGCGGAGCTTATTCCTCGTGAGGTCCCTAATATTGAGAGGAGGAGGGGGAAGAAGAGTGAAGAAAATAAGCCTTCAATTGTGGTCATTCAGGGCCCCAAGCCTGGGAAGCCCACTGATCTTGCAAGAATGCGCCAAATCCTTGTGAAGCTGAAGCAAACCCCTCCACCACATATGTTACCTCCTCCACCTAAAAGTGAAAAAGATGGCGAGGATGCAAAGGGAGGGAAGGATGCCAAGACCGAGAAAGATGCCAAGAACGGTAAAGATGCCAAGAATGCTAAAGATGCCACAGCAGCAGCTGTCAAAGAAGAAAAGGATGCTACTAATGGTTCACCAGATACATCCAAGAATGACAAAGATGTAGCGTTGGCCGGAACTGGGGCCGTTGCTGAGGTCAAGCCTTCTTCACCTGCTACAGAGGAAGCTACTAATGGCATCCCTCCTGATACATCCAAACCAGATGCCTCTGCTGCAACTGAAGGCGAGGAGACTACAGAGATCAAATCGCCCTCAACTGATTGACTGACTGATACTGTTCTTTGAAAGCAATTCTTACTTCCTGACTACATCCTGTTCCTTTTTTCCCCACGTTACTTTAACACCCTGCTTACCATATGTAATGCAGAATAAGAGCAGCTGTATCTTTTTGCTTCAGTCTGCTTCATAAGCTGTGGAGAGCAACTTTCCCAACTTACTTTAGGGTTCATTTTGGTTTAGATTAGAAATCTGTTATTTGCTTTTGAACCACTGGATACTTAAGCTCGAAAATTTTATTTCCAGATTTGTATCTGACCTTCAAATTCATTTTGGCTCACACTCATTTTGCATTCTTCTGTACCTGGTTATTGTTAGGTGAATATTGGCAATTTGATGTTACGGATGAATGAGGTGAGCCAATGCGTGATCGATCTAAGCATGCCTTTATTTAAGACATACGCATGACCCTCTGGTTCTTAGAACTCAGAAGAAGCAGTTGTTTATGAGCATGATCTGGTGTGTTTACTCGGTGATGCATGGTGTTGAGGAAGAGCGATGAAAGAGTTCATCTTTGAATTTATTTTACTCAAAGTAGACTGCCTTTAAATTTGCTGCAACATAACATTTTGCCCTTCTGATTTTCTACCGTCACACAAGGTAACGACCCTTTTATTATTTCATTTCACAATGGTGGTGACCGTGGGGTCCTCGTACCACATGCCAGGAAAATTACCAGAAAAATTACCTTGGATGACCTCAAGGTAATGGACCTTGGGCATGGTAATTTATACAGAAAACTTCAACATCCTCTCTTCAACACAAAAATGCCATTAGAAAGTGCATTCCCTTTGAAATTTAAGTCTCACTAGCAATGTCTTTCCTCAATAGTGTTTGGATAACTAAAAGACACTAGAAAACTTTCTAATTACAAAACGTTACGGTCTGGAACAGATAATGATCTCTCGATTTGAAAAGAATTTATGAACTTTTAGGATGTTAATTAACTGGTGATTATTATTAATTTTTATTTTTTTTTTGTGCTAGAAGGAACTGTCTCGATTATGGAAGTTCAGGTTCTATAGCAACCAGGCGTAAGCTTCGTATTGAATATACTCACGTAAAAAGACTTGCTTGTAGTGCTGGAATGAAGAAATAATAAAAATCAGCTCTATTATGATTCATTCTCTTCCTTTGTTTTGTGCAGAAAAATATGTCACGTGTGATTTTTTCTTTCCAATTTTCTTCTTCTTAATTTCTCACGTACGCAAGCGAACAAACAGGTGGGAGAAGTGTGCCTGTTGTCCTGCTTTTAAGTTTTAATCCTGTTTCACTTTTCTGCCTTTTCCTCCCATGATTCAAGGATCCTACTAATAATTAAAACGGCGGGTAATTGTAGCGCGCTAGCACCCCTATAGAGTGCAGCTCCCTCCCCAGCCCCCAGCATGGTGTTCTGAATCATTTCATCGAGCACCATTTCTTTTAGATATAAAACCCTTTGGTGAGAGAGGTTATAATACCACCAAAGCCAATGGCAATGAAGCAGGTTACCTACTTCTGTATTTGCCAAATTTGTACTGGCCATTACCCAAGCAATAAGACCATCTTTGACAAAACCAGTAATCAATGCTTGTTTCGATAAAAACTCAAATTCAGTATGTTAAAAGGAAAATCCAAATATTCAATGTGTCCACGGATGAATTAACATCCGGTTTGTTGCTCCAAACATGCAAATTAACAAGATATGCACTCAAGCTATATGGCAGAATACTGAAAAGGAGCATGCTTCTCTTTCATATGTAAAAACTTATATTTAGATTAAGGCGTCGTGTGTAAAGACATTAAGCAAAAAATGAGACAGGGGGATACGAAAAAATGTCCAGCATGGTTGCTATTGCAAACTTTGAGAATCCAGTATAGTAACAGAGAATTCTATAGTTTATTCCACGTGTTTACAAAAATCCTACCAACCTTTCTACGCCTGCCAATTTTCCATCTCCAACCTCATAAGCTTGTAAGGATTGTTGATAGATCATATACATTTCTTCCTCTGCACTTCCTTATCATCCATATAATACGAAGGCTGTCACTGATCAAATCCTCTTATCTGTTTGTCTGGAAAACAAAAGCAAAAAATTAACCGTCAAGGGAAACTAACTGCAAAATCTTTCAAAGGTTATCCACTTGTTCATTATCAACCAGGCATCGCAGGGAAAAGTTTAGGAGAACAAAAACCATCTCAAGGGGAATTTATGATGAATAAGGAGTGCTCACCCTAGAGACGAAACAGGAAGTCTTATCATCATCCTTCATAAAAAGGTAAAATATATACACAATGTGGCTACAGGTCCTGAATCATTGACCGGTAACCCAGCAAGGAACCAGTTAAAAGATTGACGCAATTTTCCTACTAGTATAGATTTCCTTCATCATTCAACATAAAAATCATAACATCTTCTTGAAATTTAATTAAACCATAATCGATTAAGGCAATAATCATCTACTAAAAGTGAAAAGGTTATAATTAACCATCCATCAGTGTTATAATTTTAATGCTGAATGATGATGTAATTTTTTATTAGAAGGGAAATCTACAGCCACTTTGTGCAAATATTGCACTCCTCCCAACATCCTCGATTAAAGAAGACCACACCAGGTAATGACTCCAGCATTGGACGTAGAGCAAGATGAATGAAGGAAAATGCTGAGTGAATTGTCATCGACACATAACAATCAACTCAGAAGTAAGACAGCTATGAAGGATCTCCTTTTCTTATTTTGGCTGAGCAAGAATGAAATTTTATATGATAAAAATACACACCAGTAGGGGCCGCAGCTCGCAAGACTAGCTAAGCAAAACATCTTGACACAACAAGAATAAACAATGTGAAAACTTATCCAAACACCCTCCTTCAGTTTATCAAACACATCAGAAGGATCCATGTCTTAGGATGCCAAATGATGGAAATAGATGATGGCAAGAGGAGAAAAATATTTTAAAATTAGACCAATTTAAAATAAATAAATCAGCAGAGATTGCTTAGTCATGTGCCTGGAAGACCTATGAGTGCACCAGTTCAAGTGATCAAAATGCAGTTTGAATTGAAAATTTCTTGGAGGAGAAAGGAAGAGCTAGGAAAACAGTCATTCTCACAAAATGTTTTTGATAGCAATGATTTATTGGCCCCAAATAAACCAAGATGGCAAGGAAGGATTCATCTAGCTGACCCATGGAATAAACCTGTATTGAATTAAGTACCTTATCATTAATCCTCACATACGAAGCATTCTTGGTCCCATAGACAGGGTCACCAACAACATAAGGAGTGGGTACATAATTCTTCAAGAGTGGAACTCTGTCTGGAGTATAATCATCATCACTGTCATAGGATCTTTCAGAGTGTGGCCCTAGTGCTTTCAGAATCATAGCCAATAACATACATAGTCCCTGCAAGTGAAGAGCATGGGAAGTTGGCCAAATGAGGACCATATACATGTGAAAGAAAGTCAAATTAAAAACATATCCAATTCATTAACTCAGAAGGAAAAAAAAAATAAATGTGAAAGAAAATGTCAAATTAGAAAGAGCAACTACTTAAAGACAACAGTAGGTCTAAATTTCGGTTCAGTGGTTTGGCAAATACTAAGTAATTTAAATGGTGATCTCCAAACATGCACGTGCACAAACACAGAGATAGAGAGAGACCTGTACAGACACAATTGACAAGCCTATCCATTTGCACATCTCAAAGTTGGCCTTGACAAAATCTTTGAAATCTTCCAAATTTCCAGTTGAATCCTCTGGAAAGTCCTGATATTGAGTCAAATCAAATTAGAACAGCAACCAAATGTATTATCAAAATGCATCTCTGGAACATGCAAAAATCTTTTTTTCCTTTTTCCCTTTTTTTTTTTTTTTTTGATACGCACATGCAAAAATCTTAAAATAATAAAATGATGTGGACTTTTTCTATTACAATATACCTCCTCCCAGTTGTCGTTCAAAAATACATCTGCAGTCACAGCAGCTTCCAGCATGAAAAGCAAAAAGACAAACACCATATACTATGCACATGTAAGGTCAACATAGAATTCATAGTGTATTGTGTAATCAGTATTCATGTGCTGACTTCCCTAGATGGATGTAGTTCCCATATCAATTGGATCAACTGAAAGAAGCAAATGCTCTTGAAGGATGATCAACAAGGAGTGTATCTTAACAGGGTCAAAAACAGCTTTGCCTATTCCGCTTCTTTAAAATTTACTGACATTAAGGTAAAAAAAAAAAATAACATAAATGCAATCCCTGGCTACTGGCTCCCTATGCTTCAAATAAAAAGAGAAAAAAATTTGTGATAGAGCTTCATTACGTCAAGTTGAATAATGAAATTCATGTGATACAAATTCCACAGAATTACACCCATTAAAAGGAAAAATGAAATGAGTATTTTACGGAGAACACAAGACTCCATATTTTACACATGAAATGTAAAAGTAACCCTTGATTAAGAAAAGGCTAGAAAGTATAGTTCCAGTTGGACTGAAAGATTTCATATGAATGGATTTATGTTCAATTATTTAAGAAGTACAGTTTAAATTTAGATTTATGTTTTAACAACATACATGGATGGAATTGAGGGAATTTTATGTGTGGGCTTCAAATAACAATGTAACAGGAGTTATTTCAAATTCATATCAGTGAGAATTCTAATCACACAAGGATTGATTAAAAAATGTGTCTCAAACTTCTAATCTAAAATCACCATGGCCTTGCAAATTTAACTTCAATAGCCACATTTTTTTTTTTTAATAACATTTCGTAATTTCAAATCAATTCAGTTATCCAAATGAACCATAAGGGATCAAGTGAACCAATTCATCAAAGGATACACAATAAAGGCAGCAACCATTAGCAGTCTCTGCAGCAACATGACCTGAGAGTGTGATCACACACAAAGTGACCCCGAGGCCAAGAAAAGTGTAGATGAACCTGCATGTTATGCGCATTTTTCAGAAAAAAAAAAAAGATTTGATGTAATTGTTTAACAAAAAAATTACCCACACAATATCACCTTTTATAATAAGGTCTATGAATAAACCAAAATAAAATATCTACATTCTAAGAAATATTTTCCTAGCACAAAAATGCAATGTGTAAATTCATCTTAATCAGCAACCATATTCCACTGCTCATAAAATTTTGAATAGAGCTGCACTACCAAATAGCAATCATTGTGAACATCCAATGTGCACCCCATGTAGGTCTTTAAAATGGTGACACAATACATTAGCCATGGTGATTTCTGCATTTGCACTCACTATGTAGGCCTTACAAAAGCTAAAAACGCAAGAAAAATGGTGACACAATACATTAGCCATTGTGATTTCTGCATTTGCACTAACTATGCTGGCCTTACAAAAACTAAAATCGCAAGTGTGTACAGCAGAAGTGCAAAATTTACAAAATTCTTACCCTTATTTCCCACAAAAAATCAATAAACAAGGACCAACTTTTAGACACATAAACAACTCTAGAATAAACTAAAACTTCACCCATTTTCCTTCCCAATGCATGATTTTAAAATGGTCAACCAGACCTAGTAGAGTTGGGTTGAAGCATTAGTTATCCAGAAACCATACCAACTATCATACATAAGTAACATAACTCAAAATCTCAATTTTCTGCTATTTACCTCCCATTTGTCAGCTAGCCAAAGAAGAGTAAAGGGCAAAAGGAAAAAAGTGAGACAAAAAAAGCAATACAACTACACCCTTTATATAGAGAGAGAGGGGATTTTGAAACAAAGAATCGTGGTACCATGGGGCTGGAGCATCAAAGGGCGAATCATCCATGTGTCCATGCCAAACCCTAATCATCCACAAAGCATACAAAATCATTGCTATCCCAACCATCCCAATCATCGAATTTATCAGCTTCAGCAACGACTGTATGCAGCTCCGAACCATTCTCGCCATTGCCGACCTAACCCAAAACCCCAATCGATATATACTACTCCTATGATTAATCAGATACGAATGCAGATACAACCTAACCCTAAAAGATATACACAGAATTAGGGATGAATCTGACAGCGTGTTTTTGGATCATACTCAACTCCAGATTGAGAGAAAATTAGGTGACTTTATTAATTTTGCATCCTTATTACTCGTTTTTTTTTTAACTTTTTTTTTTCCGTAACAGACAAAGAGAAATAGAAATTTAATAATAAAAAAATATTAATTACACTTAGAAATTTAAACAAATTTCACACAAGTATAATATTTGATGTTTATTACTTTAACCTCCCCTAACGTTTTGCACATATGCTCAATGACCACTCCCTAGCATTTTCTCTCCCACAAAAGTGATAAACAAATTTCATAAAATGACTAAGTTCTCCTTTTTTTTTTTTTTTTTTTTTTTTTTTTTTTCAAACGCACATGCTCCAATATTTTTCTGGTCATTTCATTTTATTGTGATCTCTTTGAGCACCACCATTGCCCACCTCCACAGCTTCCTTACATTTCCCTCCCTCTCTCGTTCATGCATATTTATACACGTGTGCATATATATATATACACGAACTGTATGAAACCCCAATCCTAGTATTTTCTATCTTTGATTAACGCTTTAATTCATCCTAAATCCACATCAAATGAAGGGGCATTCCTTCCAATATTATACATTCTCAATCAAAATCCTCAAAAAAAAATCATGAAAATTTCCTAAAATCTACACCCCACATCATTTTTCCCTTCTATTCGAAGGGGTTTGGTTTCTAAAATGTAAAGCTTATATATTTATATCTGACTTTGTATACCCCATATCTTGAGAGTGTCAATTAATTGCAGTGCCACCTCTAACGGCAGATTTTTATGAACAGACCAAAAATTGAATTCTACCAAGGAGATATATAAATTATATTTTGACATATAATATATACGTGGGGAAAGTGCACTAAACACCCAGCAAATATGACCCGATTGTAATAATTTTAAAACTCTCCTGAAGTATGACTTTTTGCATGTAGTAATGATACCTCAACAGTCGTTAAGGGAAAAATGAAATGACCGTTTAGCACTTACTTGAAAGGCGTCATTTTAATTATATTTTCTAACGTGGGTATGTACTATGCAAAACCAATAAAAATGGGACACCTAGCCACCTAACCTTATCAATAACATCGGTATATCTGCCAAACAATGACCCAAGAACATTTTATGGCGACAAACATGTCACATCCCAATCAACAATCAGGTATAAACAAAACCATAAACTGAATATAACAAAATTATGACTACTGAATGTAAATTATATATACAAATGTATATACTATACACATACATGTACATCCCTCATCTCTCTCTCCAACAACCATCATTGTCTCGTCCATGGCCGTCACATTCACCGTCCGTCCATTGCCATCGCCACCGCTCTCTCTACCCGACAAAGAGTATTCTTCCCTCACAATGTACCACCTCCACCGACCTCCTCCAATCGAACACGAAAGATGTGGCAACAATTGTTGAAGCCTAGGGTTTTAAAACCCATTTCTTGTAAAAATAACTTCACCGTATGACCAGACTCTTACCAGCGGTGGTGGGTGGCAATGGCAGGAGAATGTGACAGTTGTGGAGAGGAAAGAGAGAAAGAAGAGAAAGGAGAGAGAAATATAATTGTATTAGATATTTGTAAAAATTAATGTATTGTAAAAATATATAAGAGTATAACTGACTTTTGATTTTGCAAGAGGTCAAAGTAGTAAATCTCAAATAATAAATTTGATATAAATTTTGCAAAAAGATTAACAGATGATGCTGTGGTGTAGTGGTTATCACGTTTGTCTTACACACAAAAGGTCCCCAGTTCGAGCCTGGGCAGCATCATTTATTTAGTTTTGTCATTTATACAAACCTTTTAAAGAAAATATGGATAAGAAATATACATTTTTGAAATATAATTTATAGCCTTTTTTCTTTAACAATTATACAAACTTCGAATTAATAAGATTGATTTTGTTTTTAACTCTTCCTAATTCTACATTCTTTTAATACGGATAAAAAATATACGTTAATGAAACATGAACATCCCAAATCAAATGTCTACTGGTGCATGTACACAGAAAAAATTTAGATTATAAAATAGGAAAACACACAATTTTTGTATCATTTACTAATTAAGTTCAAGTTTCAGCTAGCTTTTCATCTAGTATTTATTGGAAACTAGTTTTGAAAATCAGTAATTTTAAATTGTTCAAACGAACTGAGTATGCTACGTGTTCCAAACCGTTTTCAGGTGAGATACATATGTAATAGGCTTGAAATGTAGTAGAGTATGACTTGTCCCAAACTGGAATCTTATGATTAGTTTGTATGTGTGCAGCATGCATATAATGGAATATGGAAATGAAATGATACAATCAAGCAATATGTAGTGCTGACCATGTCTATGTGTGCTTGAAACGTTCAAAACACACACAGATAGGGCCAAACGAGCCGAATTGTCTATGAACAACTTGTGCTCAGTTTATTAAAAACTCGACTCGTATTCATTTATTTAATAAACGAATCGAATTCAAACAAAATTTAGTTATTTGATTAATAAACAAATCAATCCCAAACACCCTTCACAACTCGACAGTAACACGTTACTAATCTTGCTTATGAATACACACACACACACACACACATATATATATATATTCAACAGTAGGTCCATTCTTTTTTCATTTTAATTATAAAGTCGAGCCCAATTCAATTCAATAATGTAGAGCCCATTTCAATCCAACCCAACCCAATTCAATAATGCTTATAATACTCCGTCTCAACCCACTCGAAAAAAGAAAAACTCTAGGCACATCTTTTCAGCCCATGCATTTAAATCCTACACAACTCTCTCACCCCATATCTTCCCCAGCCCTAGAGTGGGATTTATTTAGAGGGATAGGGAAAGAAAATAAAAGAAAGGATAGGGCTTAAGTGTGTTTAGGTGATTTAAAATGAGAGAAAAGAAAAGATAGGGAGAGATAGGACTATCCCTCATTTTCTATCTCCAAAAATGAGAAGATAGGGAGCGAAAAGATAGTATTTAAGTAGTATTTTTATAATTCTAAAAGTACACTCAACAATTAAAAAGAGAAAATTATTATTCCACTCATATCTTTTCTATTTAAAAAGATATGATAATAATTTGGTTGTTATCATTTCCCTTCTTTTCTCCACTCTATCATATCCAAACAAGAATCCGATCATTTTTTTTTATTTTTTTATTTTTTTTTCTTTTCTATCTATCCAAACATAAATAGATATTATTATTATTTTTTCTTTTCTTTTCTTTCATAACTAATACTATTATTTCTTTTCTTTTCTGTCTTATGTATCCAAACAAAGCCCTCGCATTCCTTGAAGAAACCATCGCGACTCTGGAACAAGTAGATATTAGGCTATCAAAATTTTACATTCAGTGAATCATCTCTGCTTACCACAAAGATGGTTGTTTTTGTTGTTATACTCTGCTTTTGTTGTTATACTCTTTCAGTGCCACAAAAAAAAAAATGTTCTTTTTGGGAATTTAAACTTTATTTAAGGTGATGATTTTTTGTTTTTATTGTATTGATGGTAAATTGTAATGACCTAAACCTGAGAGTCTGAATCGCTAACCGGGTCTTTACCCGATCCCAAGGTCAACTAAGGATATTATCATCCTGTCTTAATGTCAATACATAATATACGTGTCATCCCAGAGTTTATATAAAAATAATAATAATAAATAAATAAATAAATAATAATAAAATCAGATCATAGCTGCAAAGTATGTCAAAATGATCTACTAACCCATTGAACCCTAGTCGTCCGCCACTTCCCGTCCGTGTCCTGAAAAATGTTCAATATAAGGGGTGAGCAAATTGCTAAGTAGGAGGTGCCTAAAACACACCTCTTATGACCCCATGAATCAACATAGATAATAGAAAGCATGAAAACGAGATTATACTATACCGGGGATGTAAACCATAATCACAACATCTAATATAAACACAAATATCATCAAAGTCACAAATACACCATGTATATCAATGCAATGCAATGCCATACTCATGTTACTCCTCATTTTCGAAACATTTTTGTTTCAACTTCCAAACCGTTAGTGCAATCCGATCCAAAGCACCTCCAAGGAGTCACGAATGGAGGGTTGACTAACTATCCACGACCACAAGGTACCTCCAAGGCGTCGCATCCGGCCTGGTTAGCTCAACCATACTCCCTTTTAGACTATACTAACATCACGGCCCACTAGGCGTTTCCTAGGCGTCCGGTTTTTGCAAATACCTTTGAAAATATTTTCCTAAAAATAACTTCATTTATTTTTTTAAAATAAACTTTTCCCTTTACTTTCCCAATGGTAATGCATGACTTATACAATTCCTTCAATGCTATGACAATATAAATTTTTTTTTACATATCATCCACATCAATTAGACATGTTTAAAATATGAATTTTCACACAATATCACATTCTCACATTTCTAATTCATGGCATTTTTCATACTTTCAATTTGCAAATTCAACAACTTAAATACATAAGGCTTAAATTAACATCATTTAAGCTTGTATCATCTCAACAATGCGGCTATCACATAATTAGACACTTTCTACAACATAAAAAAAAATTCATGTACACAATATATAAATTTCATCTCAAGAATTTAGCACAATATGAGCATGCTTGTACATCAATTAAAGGAGATTTACTCACAAAGCTCAAAGAAATGAGTATTAGAACACCCCTACTTCAATTTTGTAGAAAACCCTCAAATTGGTTCAAATTTTTGGAATTCTTAGAGTAGCCAAAAGCTGAAATTGCTTACATCAACTTGAAGATCTCACCGAGCTCTTTGATTTGCTACAAACGGCACCCAAAATCTCCAAGAAATGAAAGAGAAATTGAAGCTTGAATTTTGCAAAGAAAAAAAGAAAAAGAAAAAAAGAAAACAGAAGGGAGGGAGAGAGAACGGGAGAGAGAGAAGTGAGGCCACAAAATGAAGATAAGTGGTGGTGGGTCCCATCACCAAAAAACTAACTTTTTATTTTTATTTTTATTTTTTTATTTTTATACATCATAACCATTACATAAATGAATTATCAATTTATCCGTAGTGGATTCACAATGATGTGAAAATTTATTTTTTATAAATTTTAAGTAAGAAAGTTAAATTGGTAATGTTACATAATTTTTTTTTTTTTTTTTTTGACTTTTCTATTGGGATATTTATTTTGGGCCATCTAAAAATAAATTTTGTTTTTGGACGAAATTTAAAAGCAAAGGGAAAATTGGTAATGTGTAATTGGCGGGTCCCACTCTTGATATCATGGGTTTTGTAAGTTTTGTATATATGATTGTATATACATTTATATTGTATCTTGTCTGATGAAAAGGGGCCAGCCGAAGTGGAAGGAGGAAAACAATTGAAATGGTGATGATGATTTTGCGGGGCCACTAGTGGAGAATAATGGGATTGAATTTTAAGGCCTGCTTGGATCAGAACTCCCAAAACAGTTTTCTGTTTTGAAAGTTACCAAAATCTGAAAACTGCCTTTTTGTTCACTTGGATCTATTTTCACAGAACAGTTTTTTAAAAACTGAGAACTCATGGTATCAGTTTTTAGAGAACACCTTTTTGCTGTTTTGTCAATTTTTTAAAGCTCGGAGACCACATAATGAAAACACGGAGAACAAAAGTTGACTTAAAAAACGACGGAACCCTATCTCGTTTATAACGAATGTCTTGGTTCCATCATCTCCTCAGCTAAAGAAGCCCTCCGTACCGTCCCTATCCAAGCGCTCTCTCAGATTTCTAAGCCAAAGTCTCTCTTCAACCTCTCTTTCAATTTCTTGAAGCTTGTCTCTTAGACAAGAAAGTCGATCTGAGATTCTTTTCCTGCAATTGTCTCTCTATCCAGGTAAAAATCTCTATTTTTCTCTATTGGATTCATTGATTTTGTGGTTGTTCACACTTCCGATTTGGGTTGGGGGATGATAATTTGCTTTGGTTGTGTTGTATTTTCTGTTGTTGTTCACGATTTTCTGTGCTTTGGTTAAGGGTTGATTATTTGCCGTGATGGATTTGGCTGTGATGGGTTATGGGTTGATTATTTGGCTTTGGTTGTTTATACCTTTGATTTTACTGTCCAAACTTTCGATTTTGGTTTGGTTGTGGCAATTTGAATGGTTTCTAATCTTATCTAATTAGGGTTTGATAAGAAACAATAGTAAAAATTCATCAAAGGTTTGAACTTTCCCTAATCTATCTAGATATTGGTATTTGATTATTCATTTTTGGGTTCTTTGTTGAAGCTGCATGTGTGGTAATTTTTTTTTTTTTACTTTTTTAATTAATTTGCACAGTTTATTTGGCTTTTGATTTTCTACTTATTGTTATTTTCTATTTGTTCAAAGTTCATTTTTTTTACCCTAAAATGTCTGTTTATTTGGTGAGCAATTTTTATATAACTTCATATCTATATCTGTGTGTGTCTATGGATGCATGTATATAGATAATTTATTAGTTTGTTTTTGTTTTTATTTGTGCTAAAGTTTATAGTGTTTTTTGTTGATAGAAATATTACAGTATAATTTTATATTTGGGAATTTAGTATTATTTTGTAAGTCAGATATCAAAATTTCAGTTTTGGCATTAGTATTAAGTGTATTAATTTGGTCAGATCCCATTTTGTTTAGGGTTGAATCTTTTATTTCGAAAATTGATTCTAAATATCTGAATTCAATACAGAGGGCATCACTATGTTTTTGGTTGAGTTTAATAGCTAAGGGGCATTATGATATTTTTTGTTGTTGCCTTTCTTTATGAATATATTTAAAAGAGAACCAATTCAAGATAAAGATAGAGAACTTGAAAATAAAGAGGCCTCATTGTTGCCTTTGCTTGAAGAATTTCTTAAGACTTGGAAGATCAAGCCCACTCTCTTAAACTCGAAGCTTGAATAGAGAGCTAGTTGGTGCTCCATCTGTGAAGATCAAAGGCAACACTAATATACACTCAAATTGATTGAGAGACTAGATGATATCATAAGTTTTTTGAGAAATTCTTCAGCTTCAGCAAAAGACCTAAAAGAAGGAACACCATACATCATCAAGGGAAGAACTTTGAGGCCAAAAGCCTTATGCAATTGTCTCACTCTCAACACTGAAGCAAGATCTCATTTCAACATTCTTCAACTTCACAATTTCCTCACAAGCATCAGTTACTTGATTTCAAAAGCTTGTACAATAGTCAAAGTTCTATTCATTGTGTATGCATGTAAGCTAAATTATATTGTCTCTTAAACATTTTATCATGCTAGTTTGGGTGGTTGTGGTGTGAGAAAGATATTGTAAACCGGGGTTGTTCTTGGTGATTTATTGTAAACAAGGAAAGTGATTAGTGAAGAGTGTGTGTCCATGTTGAATTTTTATGGCGGGTATGCTCTCTTTAAGTATGTACTAAATACTTGATCTTTTGGTTCAATATAATATTTCCATTAATTAAAAAAAAAATTGTATTTGAATATCAGGATATTGGATTTAATTTCTTTTATTGAAAGTTTTTTTTTTTGAATGCAATTTATGAATGAATAGGTCTTTTGATTCACACATCTTATTAAATATCTCTATCCCAATCCATGCATGATACACACGTCTTAATACTAAATATTAATATATTAAATGCACTTAATTTATCTGATGGTGGTGTAGCACAAATGGGAGCCCTTAGAACTCATCTGATGAATCAAATGTGGGTATCATTCAGAGACAATGTTAGATGAAGTTACTTTTATTAAGTTAAGAATACTAATTAAAATGAATTCACCTCCAACAATTATTTAAATAAATAAATATATATATATATGTATATATATATATATATATACATTAATAGTTAATATTATAAATTAAAAAAATAAAAGAGTGTATAATAATATTTTTATTTATTTTCTTAGTTTTAAAAATTATTTTAAAAAATTCAAACAACTAAGTAGTTTTATGAATTTTTGTTTTTCGAAAATTGTTTTGTAAATTCTCTTAATCAAGCAGATTTGAAATCTGAAAAAAGTAAAAATTGTTTTCTGAAAATTATTCTTGAGAACAGTTTTCATAAATTCATTTTAAGTATCGCCTTAGTTTTTTTTGTTGCGTCTTTATATATATATATATATATATATATATATATATTCTCATTTTGTATCATCTGATGGAAGAAGAGCAAGTTGACAACCGAAATTGAGAGATAATGAAGGATAATGGTGAGGTATTTTGGCGGGCTTCACCATTTGACTTTGGTGATACTTTGCATATGGTAATATTTTAGAGATTCATTGTATTTGTTTGTTCAGAAGAATGATGTGAAAGATAAGAAAAGTAAAGAAATGAAGTGAGCAGCTGGTTGGTAATGATTTGGCATGGCCCACAAAAATAAAAATTGTGTGGCCAAAATTCTTTAGACTTTTTGACTTCACGTGACTGTGTTGGAATAAGTTTGTTTGTTGATAACTGTGATGGAAGAAGATAGAGAAAAAGATAAGTGAAAGGAAAAGGTGAGCAGTGATTTGTGTCGGTACAATTGCCTTTATATTCTTTATTAATTTTGTGACTTGGACACTAAGAGTGAAAGAAATAAAGTGAGAGTGAGGGTGAGAGAGAGAAAGAGAGAGAGATGAACAGACAGGGAGAGGTCCAAGTTGCAAAGGCGGTCGGAAGCTTGAGACTTTGATGATCTAGTTAGAATTTTTTTTTTTCTGAGTAGGAGTTCCTAATCTATAAAATTTCTTATTCTTTTATGAATTTTCATCTTGAACTATTGTCTAGCATGCCAATCTATGTTGAATTTCTTCTAAAATGATTAGATTATTGTAAATGAAGTATGTGACTATGTGTTTAGTTGAAATTGTATGCTTGTATGAATTAATTGTATATTTATAATCTTATCATGTTAGATTCTTGTTGAATGGAAGCATGCCCTAAAGTCTTTGAAAATTCTTACAAGTATGCTAAGTGGTTTAGAATTGAATTAAACGTATGAATATGGACATTAATTAGCATGGCATAAAAAGGGTATGATGCATTCATGCATATTATTGGGCACGAAGAAAAGGGAAATTGTTTTGAAATGAAAAAAAAAAAAGGATTTTGGGAAAAGTTTTGATAAATTTTTTTTTTAAAAACCTAAATGCCGAGGAGGTACCGAAGGTCTATGGAGTTAATGTAACCTAGAGGGAAATAGGGAAATCACCCTAGCGTGGTTGAGCTATCTGGGTCCCAAATGACGCAGTGCATGTATCAAGGGTCAGGACAGTAGCCAATCCTTTTCTCGTGTCGTCGCGGAGTCACAAACAGACGAGTTATATTAACAGTTTGAAAAGTGATGGATGATTTTGAAAATGGTGAACAACATAGCACGGTATTGCATTTCATAGCACTATAATGTTTATTTGGATTTGAACTTGATGTTGTATTTCTCCCAATATAGCATGATCCCGTTCTCTATTGTTCTATTTATTACTTGGATTCACGGGGTCACAAGAGGTGTGTCTTAGGTACCACCTACTGAGCTTTATGCTCACCCTATTATTTAACATTTTTCAGGGTATGGGAAAGAAGTGGCGGGTGACGTTCCGCCATTTTGCTATTTTGGTATCTAAGTCTCATCATTTTTTTGTAAAACCTTAGTTTGTTATATTCGGTATAGAGGCTTAGGGACTTTTGTTATTGTAATTGTATTCATGGGTTGTAACTTTAATATAAATTGTTTAAACGTTGTAAGACATGGATTTTTGATCTTAACCATATTTTATTATTATTATTATTATTATTATTATTTTGGATTGTAATTATGATATTTGGACAAAATGGTATAAGAGCATTTTATTAGAATTTTCGGGTCTTGACAGAATGCTTGTTGTGTCAAAAAATAGTATTTTGAATGAAATACACCATTAGAGCAGAATTGTAAAAATATAACATTTTAACACTATAACTCCTCTCAAAATATAAATTTGGTATGGAAACCTAACATTTTGCATTAGAGTATTGTTATATGAAAAATACTTCTTCGAATCCGCTAGAGTTGAACAGAGATGCCGATGATGTGGGGCCACCATGATTGATGGCTCCCTTGACCTGTTGGTCTCAGTGCTGCTCTAGCGGATCGAATTCGGTCAAAAAAATACAATTTTAAAAAGGATAAGACTTACCTACTCACAGGTGATTAGGTCATTCACATTGATCGTTGATGTGGTTCAATCACACATTCACAAATAATTCATAATTACAAAAGCAGGAAAGTGATAAATAATAACTTTTTTTTGAAATAAATTCACACCCTGTATGGTTTTTTTATTTATCACTTTTTTAATTTTGTAATTATAAATTATTTGTACATTTGTTATTAGATTATATCATTGGTCGGTATGAATGACCTAATCTTGTCAGCATGTACATGAATGGATCAAATTCCTTATTCTTTTCTTTGTAGGTGAAAAGAAAACGCAGCATCGTAATCTAGGATTGATTCGAAACTTTGTGTGAAGGATCATCCATCACATATATATATATATATATATTATATACTCACGACAGTAGCATTATTTATGTAGAGTGGTCCAACTATACTTTACTTACCAATTAAGAAAAGAATAATTTTACTTCGATTGGATACCCACACTCCAAAGCGTACTAATCACAGAACGTTATTTACCCAAAAAACAAAATCACAGAACGTTCGTAGGGTGCACCTTGATGAGGCTCATAAGTCATAACCCAATTGATTGAGGGTATGTCTCTCTCTCTCTCTCTCTGTATATATAGATATAGACATATCTAGTTGGCCTGCTACCACATCGATATATCTCGATCTGGTAGGAGGCATGGCCCATTCTAACCCTGTTGGTAGGAATGATGATGATGATGATGATGATGATGATGTTGAATTAGATAAGCGTAATGCTTTGCTTTACAATGCTCTAATGAAAGAAGAGAGGAGCACTTTGGTTGAACTGTATTGTCGACGGCGTGAACAATATCCAGATGGTCCATTGCACGTTCTAACCATACACGGTGACACAGTGCTTCATATGGCAGCACCCACCGTGAATGCTGACTTGGTAATTCAATTGCTGGAGATGTTGGCTGATGATGAGTACTCCAAACTTACCCACCAAAATGCAGTTGGAAACACAATCCTACATGAGGCCGCGGCCTTCGACAAGTTAGTCCCAGCAGCTAGGAGACTTCTAGAAAAGGCACCTTGGTTGCTAAGTATGCACAACAAGTTTGGAGAAACAGCTCTTTTCAGTGCAGCCCGCTATGGCCAAATTGAGATGTTCGCATTTCTTCATATCAAAGTGCAGCTGCAGCTGGGTGATCAAAATATTCAAATTAGTGAAGCTGAGCGCAAGAAGTTTTATCATAAGCACAACAATACCACTGTGCTTCACATGGCTGTTATCTTAGGACATTTCGGTCAGTACATTCTCCTAGCTAGATAGTCCTTTTGTTTGTGTTAGTTTGATAATTGGAATTTGGGTTTGTGTGTGCTGTCTTTCTGCATAATTTGGTAGATTTGCCTAATACACACACACACATATTGGCTTTGTAAAGAAGCAACTTCTTCATTTTTTAATTTTCTTCTTTTTCTTGACTATTAAAACAACCCTACCCTTTTACCGTGAAATATAAACAGATTTGGCCCTTACAATTGCGAAGGAGTGCGTATATTTAGTTGCTGAAGAAGACGAACATGGAATGACTGCTCTTCAACATCTTGCGTGTAATTCAGCAGTATTCAAGATAAAGAATGCAGGATTTTTGAAGCATTTTATCTTCCACTGTGAGATACATTTTCACCAAAGAAAAATAATTAATTATTGTTTGCATTAGTTATTAGTGGATCAATAGATCTTTAACTGATATATAGACATATATTTCTTTCGGAGATCTTTACGTACTGCATTGTCTACCCTCCATATCCTTTTGCATTTCACTTGGTTTTTTAAAGTAAACGACCATACAAAATCTCACAACTATTACAAAAGTAATCCTGCACTCCACTTTGGGGACAGTGCAATTAAAAGAATCTTGATCCCTAGCTTTAAGGAATAATTTTGTCATTTCACTAATATATATATATATCAAGTGGACCGCAAATTGAGAAAAATATGAATTGTGAACATGATCTTCCATAATTTATAGAGTAAAGTAAAATAAATCCCTTTCAACTATACCCTAACTGCAACTAACGTACCCCTGTCAACTACAACCCCCGTCAACTACAAATAACCCCCCTCAATTATGGTCTTGGTATAGTCTTAGGACAGAGAATGCTTTTCAGCTATTTCTAGTTACCGGAAATTGGAAAAGTCTAATTTACCCCTCTATAAAACGGTGCCGCATCACGGTGAGAAAAGTAAAATTCCTGGAGGACATGTGTCAGTAGCCTATTGGCTGATGACTTTATTATTATTTTTCCTTTTCTTTTCTTTATCTTCAATTGGGTCTCTTCTCATTCCTCTCTCTCTCTCTCTCTAACTCGTCCCTGTCCAAGCCGCCAAATTGAAACGCGATGAACCCCCAAATTGAAAAGGCGACGACGAAGCTAGCGATTGACAGAACGGCGGGCAAGGCGGTGAAAAGCTTGGCTATGGCGGTTTGATGGAGAAGGGCTGGCTGTGACGACGAGGCAGGTGGAGGGCTCGGCTGACTCGGCCATGAATGACTCGTGGTGACAAGCTTGGCGGGATTGAACAGCGGCAGAACTCACGGTGAGCAAGGAGGCTTTGGATGGTGGAGAAGATGAAGACGGCCTCGGCGGTTTCGGCTTTGGATGGTGGAGAAGATGAAGACGGCCTCGGCGAGTCTTGTAGATGTCGGTTGTGTGGACGGCGAGTCTTGTAGCGGTGATGATAGATCAGCGAGGGCTCGCTCATGAGGAAGAAATGCGGCGGTGGTTGGGTTTTGCGAATTGCGATTGGGTTTGCTTATGATTGGGATTAAAATTGGCGATTGGGTTTGCTTGTGATTGGGGTTGATAATCAGTTCTGTTACTATTGAAATCGAATTTCTGATCTTCCAGATGAAAACTTGCCATGAATATGGACGGGCATGTGCACACGACCTATATATATATATATATATATATATAGACAGAGAAAGAGGTTCCATTAAACAAACTTAAATGATGTATACTTATTTAGGCACCTATGAATATACTTAGTGGGAATCCGAAGGAAAAGGCGACATTATTTAACAGATGAGAGCGGACTTCCCGGCCCAATTGGGTGCAGGAGATAGCTTTCACGGAAAAACCATCCTCACAAGTGAAAGATATGCCCGTGCACTACCACGCTGAAGAGGAAAGAAGAAGAAACTACCTTAGGATAGGATAGAGCATGATCAACCATTTGACCACATTCGGTTGTTGTTTGATTTGTTAATCGAGCCCAACTACACACCCCGGAATGGCAAAAGAGGGAATTAAAAAGAAATGAATGAGAGGAACTCATTCTCTGTAAAATATATATATATATATATATATATATATATATATATATATACATATACATATACATATACAGGCAAATACAGATATACTCCACAGATCGATGAGGAAGGAGGACAAAACGTTAGGGCTTGTTTGGATACTAGTTGGGTCCAAATGTCTTTAAAGGGCATTATGGATTTTTATATTCTATAAGGGCTCTATGGTCATTTAGAGAAGTGTGGGCTATCACGTGCAAAGCATATGCTAGAAATCCATCAGTCGGTTGCCCGATTGGATAAAGTGCAACCAAACAACATACTTCGAGGGGGTTTTATGCTACTTTAGAAATTTAGGAGAGTTTTTTGCTCATTAGGGTATAATTGAGGAGGGTTTATTGCACTTTATCCTAATTTATATGCACATGGTTACATTTTCTAGTATATGCTCCAGTTAAATAAACAAAGTTGGTGATCTTTTTAGGTTTCTTGAAAGGTGAAAAATTAATGTATAGTCATGCAATGACAGGAAAATGTGCGTACGAGAAATTACACAATAGTTAATCAATTCAACATGGTTCCATTATTGTTACGGGTACTATTTATGTACTACTGAATTTGATATATTTGTTGGAAATCAAGATGCAGGGGCTTGGACAGTGCCTTTGTGGGAAGCAATTTGGAAGGAAATGATAAAATATGAATCAGCTAAGCAACTTGCGAGGTTCTTAGTAAGAAAAGATAATACATCTTGGAAGGAAACTTATCCTTTCGAAGCTCCAACAAATGAGACCCTAAACAATGGAGGGCCATCAATATCATCATCAGCTTCTTCCAATATTGATGTAGAAGTACAGATTTATGGGGAGAAAAGCAATAGTACACCATTATTTTTGGCAATTAAAGCTGGGTGTGTGGATATTGTTGAGATGATACTCCAATTGTACCCTCAGGCAGTTGAGCATGTGGATGCCAATGGGTGTACCATTTTACATATAGCTGTCAAGTTCCGCCAACTATGGGTCTTTGATGTGTTGCGTCAAGTGGGAATTCCTTGGAGGAGGCTTATTATACAAAGAGAGATTTGAATACCATTCTACATATGGTTGGAGAAGATTTTATGATCGAAGTAGTACAAGGAAACCCTATTGTCCAACTGCAAAGCGATTTGTTCTTGTTTAAGGTACATATATACACTTGTCACTCCTATTTATTGATTTTTACACAAAGTGGAGTCCTCCCATTCAGAGGGTACGTGCACCAAACTACGTCATTTTGGTGCAAAGAACCCTTCAAACACAAGGGTATCGGTTCCTAGTCCTATATGAAAACTCATTCAGTCTCCAATGTGAGAGGGCTTCACATAGTTCCGGGACACAGCAGTAACTGTGTCAATTTTATTAAGCTTTTTGCTTAAGTGTTAACTAGTAATTAGTCAGGACCAATTGTCTCGAGATCATATAATAATTTCTAACCCCTATGTGGACTTGAACTCAGAGTGAGTGAATAAGTACCACTAAGCAGGACCTAGTGAAGGCCAAGTGGGGGCAATTGACCCTACTAAATTATTATTATTATTATTTTGCTATTATATACCTACCAATTTTTTTTCTCTCTAAATTATATACCTATAAAATTTTAAAATTATCCCACTGAAATTACCAAAAAAAAAAAAACTTCACTATTGCCCCCGCCCTATGATTTGATTTTTCTTCTTGTTGTTGTTGTTAATGCCTAATGGTCCGCCCTCTCTTACATAATTTTCTGGTCCCCTGCCGTGAAGTTACAGCTCTAGGTTCGCTTCTCTTAATTATATAAGCTATCACATCCTTAGTCTGAGTAAAATGGGAAAAAAGAAAAGTTATATTAAAACTGGATAGATTGCAAAAAGCACAATTACTTGCATTAATTCCATATGATATTAAGAGTAAAGTAGAGTAGAGGTTGATTTCACTAGATATATAGGAAGTAATATGTTTCTGATTTATTTAAATTTGAGCTTATGTACGTGTGTGGATGCAGAAAGTAAAGGAAATTTGCACATCGTGTTCAGTGGATACAAGTTTGTATCGCAACCGTGAAGGGAAGACTGCTAAAGAAACATTTGTTAAGAATAAGGAAGATCTTCGGACTAAAGCTGTAGAATGGACAAAGTTCATTATAGAAAGCAGCTCATGGCTTGGTGTGTTTGTAGCCGCTGTTGCCTTCGCGGCTGTTTTCACACTACCAGGAGGTTTGCATCAAGAAAACGGCTTCCCCATGTTTCTCAACAAACCATTCTTTCTCATTTTTATCATCACCGATGTCCTTTGCTTTTCATTCTATTGCATTTCGTCGGCTTTGTTTATCTCAATCCTCAATTTACCGTTTCGCTTCAAAGACTTCGAGCTCTCTATTCCAGCAAGGCTTGTACTAGCTGTTAAATTTAATTTGTGGGGTGTCAATGCTGGCATTGGCATTCGCCTCGACCATCATCCTCACAGTACAAAAGATGGAGCAGTGGAAAAGGATTGGCTTTTACACCATCGGATTCCTGCCCTATACCATCTTGTCAGTCATATTTGTGCAAGTCTATTTATATTTTTGGCGAGCGTTTTTGTCCGTCTTCAAAACTCCTGTTAAAGGACCTCAATATAGCGGCTTTTCTTTTCGATCTTGCATTGCACATTATTTTTTCTGCTTCCGTAAATTTATAACACCACCTCCCTCTATCCCTACTCCAGTTCAAGAAACTACCCCTTCTGTTGTTTGAAAGACGCATAAATATTCTCTCTAGATTCGAAGTAACTCGTGTTGCAATTAAATTTCTTTTTACATTGTCTATTGATTCTTTGTATGGTTTTGAATTTTTCATTATGTACCCATTTGATTAAGAATGATATACAGTTTGCGTTACTTATTTTAGCAGTCACTTTTGAACAAATACTACCAAAAGATTAATTTATTTCCAGTCCATGCCTGTAACGCCCTTGTTTAATGGGACCACAATGAATAATTACTCTTTATTAAAGGCATTAGATGACCTGCTGATGTGGCCTCCTATTATTATGACACCTATCCAAAACTAAAAAGTGACATTAAGATGGGCAATGCCCATTTATGCAGGTTAATCTCGTTTCCCCTTATTAGTCTCTTCTCTCTCTCTCAATACCTAATCAATCCGCCGCCTTAACAAACCTATTTTTATTTCCTTCTTAGTTTCTTCCCCTCTCTATTAGGACTGCAAATGAATCGAACTGGTCATAAAAAACTGTTAATAAAAGCTCAGATTGGGTTCATTTGTTTAGTAAATAGGCCGAACTTGAGCTTGGTTTTCAACCCCATTTAGTAAATGAGTCAAGCTTGAGCAACATTGAGTTTGGCTCGCTACAAGCTTGTTAACACAAAGGCCGGCCTAATTGTACTTTTTACCATTTTACATATAAAAGGTTGTTTAACCCATATAAATATAAGTAGGCCCAACTTATTTCATTTTACTAATGAGGCCCAAAGAGTTTTAGTTCAATAACCCATTAGCCCATCCTCTAAATAAATATTCTTCTCAACCATTAGATTTTAGTTCATCTCAGCTGCTGGTTTGCAAATCTTAAGAGAAAGAGAACCTTAAGATGAGAAGAAGTTTGCAGCGGCTGTCTTAAGCTCCATAGCCTCGACCGCATGATTCCGCCGGCCATTCACGACAAAACTCTTTCTCTCTAATGGAACATCTCAACTGCATGAATCCTCCAGCAACCCTCCACGACACCATTGATGAGCGTTGAAAAGTACACTTTTAAACCCCTTAAGCTTGAGTATTCTAGGACCTTTATCTATCTTATTTACCCGTTTTAGTACTTATTTGTGTTTTTGTCTATTTCAGGTCAATAATGTTAAAATGGGCTAAAAATGGTTTCTTAAGGCCTTTTTGGAGTCAAACTAAGTCTTGGAAAGGATTCGGAGTAAAAGGAGGCTGATTTGGAACAAAAAGAGGTTGATCCTGAAAAGCTGCCAAGTGAGATCGATCAAAGTTGGATCGTTCGAACTTTTCTCTGATCGATCCAATTTTTCTGATCGATCCAACTTTTTCTTTGATCGATCGAACATTACTGGCAGCGAGCTGCCTTATTCCCGTGCGCGCCCAAAAGTCCACCAACCACATAGTACGGGATTAGATATTTTTGGAGCAATATTCCTGACTTAGTGACTAAGAAAATGACCTTCTATATAAAGGGAAGTGACCCATTTGTAAATAAGCTTTTTATTATTTTATTTTTACATTGTATTTTTTATTTCTCTCTTTACCAAAGTTAGAGATTAGGGTTAGAAGAAAAGAGGGAAGTGAAGGCACATCTCAAGATCCATCTCTAGACCACACACTCTCTCTCCATCTCTAGAGCTTCAAAGAAGAAGAAGAAGAAGAAGAGGAAGATGAAGATGGAGCCATATTTGGAGCTTGATTTCATGACCACATCCACCTCCTCTATGATTGGCTAGATCTACACTTAGGGCTTGGATGAGCCCTAAGTCTTGTGTAATCTAAACCCTTGTATTTCTATTTTTGGGGATTTATATATATTGTTGTGATTAGTGTTCTAGCTTTGTGAATTTAATGAATCTTGGTATATTTCTATAATTTCTATGGTTTATTTCTTCCTATTAATTCTCTAGTTTATTTACATGTCTATGTGTGATTAAATTAGGAATTATTTCTTACATGATTCATATGGTTTAATTCTTCCTATTGATTCTCTATTTTAATTACATGTTGTCTTATGTGTGATTGTTTGGGGAATTGATCTCTACACTAGCTTTTCTACATTAATTGCTTGTCTATGTGTGGTTGATTGAAAATCTAGTGATAGCTAGACATGGGTTTTCATTGAATTGGTTTGTCAATTAATTTGATAGTTTATACTTATGCTTGATGGGTTGTTCTACAATTTAATTCATGCTTGTAGGTAGGTAGACAATCTATGATTGCTTAGATATTCCATGGCTTATTATTGCAAATTCCATGATTCTCTAGATTGAGGTGTGCTACAATTATTACTACTTAGATGGGTCATGCTTAAACTAGATTGGTTGTGCTACAATTAGTTTAGGTAAGACAATTCATGCTTAAATTAGATGGTCCATGCTTAATATTGCAATTGGTAGTCGCATTTTGTTCACAACAATGTATTCCCCATTAATGGAAAGCAAGTGGTTAATTACATGAGCTTAGTGGTGATTCCAACACCCTAAGACCTCTCTTCATATCTCTTAAATCCCTATCTCTAACTAGTTTACTTTACTTTCATTTTAATTTCATTGCACCTTAGTTTAATCAACCAATCTCTATCTTTTGCAGTCTTGTGATACGCTAGAGTTGAAGTTAAATTCTAACACGTATAATCCTTTGGAACGATCCCTACTCACTCTTGCTACTTTAGTAGTAGTGTTGGTAGTGGTTTTTATAAATTTAAACTTGACCCAAAAGGCTTTTCTTGAACCGCACATTCACTACATCAATTTTGGCGTGTAGGAGCGGCCCTCGTCAAATTTTGGCGCCGTTGCCGGGGAATTGACGGTTTTGTTGGAATTAAACTAGACAATAGTGTTCATTTGATTGCTTCTATTTTTATTTTATTTTTCATTGTATATTCTTTGCTCTTGTTCTTATTGTTATTTGTTTAATTAGGTACTTGACTACAAGGAAGACAAATTTTGGAACTTGAAGCAATCATTGGAGGTTAAAGCTAAATTTGGAGTTGAAGTGCTAAAGGACCATTGTGAGCAATTCTTGGAACTCTTGTATTTTAATTGTTTCACTTCTTTGCATGCTTGTGATAGCCCTTGTTGAGGCTCATTTTATTGCTTCCATTTTTATCCAAGCATAGGCCCTTGTTGAGGCCATTATTTGTTGTATTTGGATTTTAATTGTGAATGGAGGAATTGTTTGATCCAAGTTTGGGGGGAAATTATATCCCTTCACCTTATGCTCCTCCATCATATTTTAATCCTTATAAGATTGAGTCCAATTCATTTCATGCATCATCTTATTATGGACTTGATTACTCATTTAATCATTCTTATGACTATTGCCCTCCCCCACCATTTTATGATGAACCAAATCCACCACCTTCTAGGTACTCACCCTGATTTGAAGAAAATTTGTTAGCTTTACTTGATGTGCATATTTCACAAACTCCACTTATTAATTCTCATTCTCAAACTTTAGCCAAGCTTGAAGCTCAAGTTGAGCAAATTGCAAGTACTCTTTCTCTTCAAGAGGATGAGGAAGAGGCAAATGAAAAAATGGCAAGAACTTCAATGTATATAGATGAGGATGATGAGAGTGAAGAGGATGAAATAAGTGAGCTAATGCCTAGCACTCTATCTTGTATAGAGGAGGAAGTGGCAAGTAAGTTAGTGGCTAATCTAATAGAGCATAACATGATTAATGAGGACTTTCCTTATTTTGATTATGATTTTATCTATGACCTTGTTACTTTAGAGAGTGAGGAGATATTGACCACACTTGAGGTAGGAGAGAAGGAGGAGGAACTTGTTGAAGAAGGTCTTCCTTCTATTATCTCCAATGACCCTCTTGAGGAATGCCTTTTTGAAATATATAAAAATTGTGGTTTTGACTTTGAAAGCTCTAAAAATGAAATAAACTCTCTAATGGACTTCTTAGCTTACTTGGAAGGTGAGGAGATGGTGATTTTTGAGGAGGAGAAAAAGGATGAAGAGAAGGTTCCTTGATATTCCAAATGAGTCTTTGAAAGACATTGACTTGCCAATTCACAAAGGAAGTGATTCTTTGAATACACTTCAAGAGCACAAAATTGAGGCAAGCCTAATCGTGATTGATTTTGTTTTCAAGACCGTGGATGAAAGGAACAATATTATCTCTTTTATTTCTTTTCAAGTCATTTTTTTGGAGGATGATTTCATTGTTGTAAGTGGGACATTAAATGAGAAAAGTGAAAAGAGGATCAATAAGGATGTTTCATATCTGGTTTTTGATTCATTTGATTAGTGAGTTGACCCAACGTCTTGCTAGATTCGTTAAACACTAGTATTCGTAGAGTTTCACAACTCTATTCCTCCTTCATTTCTTTTTGTTTTTCATTTCTTGTGAATTCTAGATATTTGCTTTGGGTTCATATACATTGCTAGGAATTGTGATAAGGATTGCATGTACTTTCATGTTGAAATTGAGCATTTTGCATAAGTTCGATCGATCTCAAATGAGAGTTTAATCGATCGACCTTCATTCCTGCAGCAAACCTGCATCCAAATCACTCCCTGTCTCATCGATCCAAGAAAATCTTCAGATCTTAGTTCTCAGTTAGATCGATCAGAAGACCTTCAATCGATCCAAACATCAAGTTCGATCGATTTTGAGTTTCAACACTTAGAAAAATTTCGAACCTGCATAAACCTGCATATTTAAGCTCTTTGTCCCATCGATCGAAAATATTTCAAGATCGATCTTAATTTCTTTGATCGATCCAACTTCATTATTGGATCGATCTTAAGTTCCAACACTTAGAAAATTTTTGAACCAAAAAACCTGCATATTTTCACCTCTCTGTCAGATCGATCGAACATCTCTGCAAGTTTTAAAAATTTATTTTTACTTTTACTTTTACTTTTATTTTTATTTATATTTCAAAATCCCAAAAAATATTTATTTTATTTTATTTTATTTAGTTTATTTTAGTTATTTTATTTTTCAAAAAAAAATAAAAAATAAAAAATTTCTTTTATTCTGTTTTATTTTGCTTCATTTTATCTTATTTCCAAAAATTCAAAAATATTTTGTTTAACTTTAATTTTTAATTTTTCTTAATTTTTAAATTTTAATTTCAAAAAAAAAAAAAAAAATCTTTCTTTGCATTATTTATTTCTTTTCATTTTTACTTCTTACATTTTTATTTACTT